TGTGCGTGTGTGTGTGTGTGTTTAAACACCTGGACATGGCGGCTGAAGTGCACTGCAATTTTCCGGAACAAATTTTAATGCAGGGGAGAAAATCCAGAGGCTCGAATCTTTCGTTCAGCCATGAGCGGGGCCAAACGTAATGAACCGGCGGCTGATGCAACTTCAAAACACGCCCACCACCTTTGCAGTTTAGACAAATCTGCAGTTTCTTATGCAGCCATCTCCGTCGGGTCTGTTTGCACACATGATGGCTGTCCGCAATCACTCACCCGCTGCACGGCCGTTGCAGTGGAGATGGGCATGGCGCACCAATGATGGAGAGAATTGGTGGTGGGAATGGTTCTAAATAGCACGGGCCTTTCTCACCGAGAAATCCAAACAAAACCGCCCTCTTACCAGCGATGAGGAGCCACTAGCTCCCAGACCAACGAAGCCCCACCCCTTGAGGGATCAACGGCTATGAGGATGTTCAGCCCACACAGTTTGCACGGGATCACAGAGCCGAAACCTTCACAGGCGAGTCTTCGGACCGTTTGTTGGCCAGTAAAAGAGTTTGCTCAGAACACCTGCTGCAGCCTTGGACTCAAGGAAACGCTTGAACATGGCGGATAAACAAATAATAGTGCATGGGGCACAGGCCGCTGCTCGATGCCCGTGCCAACGAAGCTGTTCCAAGACAGGGGATGAGTGGTCTGATCAACTACCTGCACCTGCAAGCATGGCCAGCCGAAAGCACCTTGAAATTTGTTGCTTCCATCATTGGCCAATCAGTGAAAACGTTTCGGCATGGATTTTGCAATCTGTCGTCGTCTTGTCCTGCCGCTCGCATTCGTGCAAGCCAAACCGTGTGATAAGTGTGTGTGTGTGTGCGCGTGCGAGTGCGTGGCCTGCGGCCCGTGCACACCCTGACCCAGGTTCTTCAACATTTTTCATCCTGATGATCCCATTGCGCACTTCTTCTGAATGTTTCAATTTTGCTGCTGCAGTCCCTGGGACATGCATGCTTCACCGCTTAGGCCAACCTTTACCCCGACCGTGCAGGTACCGTATTGAGCCGCTGCTGAATCCTGCTTACACCAACATGAGCCCAAGGCAGGTTCAGAGACGGTGACGGCTGATTTCGACATGCCTGTTCCGTGTTTATGCAGATGGACACTTTGCATTGTGCATATAGTTCCCAGATGTCGAAGCGCCACATGAAGAGGTGTTACTGCCCAAGAGGATGTTCACGAAGAGAAAAGAATCACAAACATTCCATCCTACGAAACCAAGCACGCAGCATCCAGATGTATCAGCTTAATGTTGTCAACTGTGCCGATATACTCAAACTGGCGTCGTACTCTTCAGAAAAGAGTGGTGGAGTAGTTGAGTGAAGAGAAGTTCAAAAAGGTTTTACGTGACTGAGTAACCTGCTGATGGCAGAATCCCCGATTTTTCGTCGACGTCATGGTAACGCAGCAGCTTTCTTTGAGAAGAGGCCAACCACATCATGCAGCAATGTGCAATTAGGTGCATTATGGCCTACCATGTCTACCTCGATCCTAGCGTATTCTTACTAGGAAAAGATGAACCGGGGCAGAATGAGCGCAAATCTGGACCCGAGCTTGAACTGGTGAAGGGTGGTGCCACATTGCGGCGGTGTGCGGTGGAATCATCGAATTGCGACTTTGTGGTCTTCGGTGGCGACGTGGCACTTCCATGTGATTCCACTGCTCGCCTAGTGCTGTACAGCAAACGCCAGGCCGAAAAGCGGTGATGAGGTGGATGCCGAGGCCGCTCTCATCCTGGATCATCCCGCATCCCACGCCTGAAAAACTTTGCTTGCAGAGATTTTCAGGCTCCCCTGGACGAGGTGCTGGTCGTGCCAACGGAGGAGCATGCGACTGGCTCCCGTCACACTTCGCAGACAAAGCTGCCATGCAGGGAGGTAGCAGTTGGCCGCAGCACAAGCACATCTTGCCGCTGGCAGGATCCTTCGAGCTTCTTTGAGGTGCATGCTGCGTAAACTCACAGCAAGTTCAATTCGCTTCGTTCGAGCAGGACAAGCCCGTTCGGCAGTCGATTGTCACCGTTGATCGCCTCGACTATGCTTTGCAGGCCCCTGCTTAACTTGTCTATTGGAATTGTTGGCAGGGTCTCGCAGCCCGATGGGGTAAAAGCACCACCACCGAGACCACCCCATTTGAGAGCATGAACGAGATGCTGAGCGCCATCCACAGCCACTTCAGCTATTGGGAGAACGAGGCATGCTTTATCTGCCTGTCTGTTCACAGGGTTCGGAGAGGACGTCGTGTCGGGAGTGCAACTGCTGTCGGAATTCTGTTCTCAAAGTTGAGAATTCTTTGAGGACATGTTGCAGTTCGTCGTTGATCAGATTTTCGAAGCTATCAGCGCCGGCTGCAGCCCAAGACCATTTTCTTACCGTGGCGATTCCTGATTAGGCTGTTTTGTCGAGAGTTGGCTTCTTCCCTCAAAACTTCAGCAGGGTCTGAGCGTAAGGCGTAAAGCTCACAGTCACCCTGCCGTAGGCTTGTTGAACGCAGTGCCAGTTGGAGAAGACATAAGGATCGTTACATGCATGATGCACGTGCCATCATGTTCTGTTCCGTGTGCGGGGGGAACAAGACGACGTGTCTCCATGCATGTTAGGTACAGTGCAGAGATTCTGCTGAAATGTAGGATGTGCAGACACATCGGACCGAAGGTCACCGAAGGTCCGCTGTGTCCGGGGCCGGGGATCCAAGCTGTGCAGGGGATGCTGATGCGTCTCTGTGTGTGTCGTCCTCGTCCATGAAGGCACAGGGCATTCGCAATCTACTGCGCGCAACGAAGCGGGATATCCAGCCAGATTCGCCGCACCTTCTCAAGTTCAGGGCAGTTTCCTCACAGGCTTGGCATCCCGGCTGCCACAGTCCGTGGTTCTTTGTTGTGCAGGTCTTGACACGGAGAACTATGGAAGCACGCGTGTTTGGCGTCTTTAGTTCTCGTTTCATTGCATACGCCATCGGGATTGGCGCAAAACAGGGAATGCCGAGGAGTTGCGCTATGTTGCGCTCCATGCTCTGAGTACAAGGTTGAGGGAAGGTAAGTCATGGTGCCGCATCAGTCCAAGGCTCTATTTCTCTCAGTCCGAGGTTGAGAAGACTTTTGATTTCCAATTCATGGGTGCCGCAGCAGTCCAAGCACCACGCTTGTTTGGCGAAACTAGCACCAAGGCTTGTTTGCAAATTCGCGCCACGGAGCTAAACAAAAAAGCGCAGTTCGGGGTTCGAGCCTTGAGACTGGATTGTACCCCAAACGCAAAAATACATTTGCAGCTTCGAGTCTGGAATCTGTGTGATGCTTCGACTCATCACATCACAGAACGATAGATGCATGCGTGCTTGGAAAAAGACAGATCGAGGCAAAGAAGGCAAAGACGACGCAAGCAAAGGAAAGTGAGGCAACCAAGCCGACTGTAGCAAGTTGCGACCTTGGGTGTGTACAAGCAGCCAAATTCGCAAGTTCGCAAGTTTAAGCGTGCGATTTGACGTCGCTGCATGGCGTACTTTCACAGCGTCTACAGGGCCAAAGTGCCGGTCACTTACGTTTCGTTTGTCGGGATTCGCTGCGAAGCTTCCCTGAGAGAAGAGAACACCGAATCCTTTGACAAGTCTGTGGTAAGCCGAGTATGTGCCATCTATTCTTGGATGCGTCTGCAAGCAGTAGAACTGGCCATGCAACCGCTGTCGGTCATCAAGCTGCAAACAATACAGCTTGTCTAACGCTTGCTGAGTGCCACGCAGGCTTGTGACAGTTGAAACAAGCACACATGTCATTCGCAACAACTCCGGAGAAGCAGAATCATGGCGCCTGATCAGGCGAATACTTTGTATGTCGGCATGTGATTGCAATCTGATTCGACCTTCGCTTTTGCACAGGTAGAAAAATGGCTGCGTGGTTTGGGATCCATGCTGCCCAGAGAGGCCTTGCAAGTAGCCCGGTTGGATTGGCGAGATTGCAGAATGGAGGTGAAGCTCCAACCTGACGGCTAAAGCATCCATACGATCTTGACCTCCCCGGCCCAACTGGAAAGCGCTGGCAAGCACAGCAACGTACCTGCATCGTGGGACGCACCAGAAGCACCAGCAGCTCCCTGGGAGGTTCCGTGATTGTGCCTGCCTAAAAGATCGGTGATCGACCTCGAGTTCTAGTTTATCGTTTGTTAAAGCTCCTGCTGGTAAGCAGCTGACTATGCTATGCCCCGTAGTTGAGCAGACATGTGTCGCACCGAAGTTTCACGAAGTCTGTTTTTTTTTTTTTTTGCGTGGCCCCTTCCACGACGATGCGTCCACGAAGGGGTCACTGAGCAGCCTCGACATGGGGGAAAGCAAGAACGCTGCAACTTCGTCAATTCGTCTTGTCAAAACACCTTCCAGGCGATTTCTGCCCTGATCGAAGAAGTCCATCGGCGAGGTGATTGAAGCCAAATTTCGTGCGAAAGTGTGATGTGACGTGGAGTTAGCCGAGGGATGGATGGAGAAGCTTTCGACGTGCTGATAGCAAGGTGCACTTTGCAATGTGAAGTCTTTGTGCGTGGAGTCTTACTGTTACTGAGAGTTTGCTTTCATCCAGTCGAGCAATGCCGGCTCTGGGGGATGCAGCCGGTCACCTAGCAGAATCAGTAGCTGCACACCATTTGCAATGCTGCAAACTCTGAAGTCTATGACAAAGGTGCGCCCGGCACACATGGCCATGCTCCGGCGCTGCTGGTGCAGCCCACAGCATCTCACAGCTTGCTTCCGCGGTGGTGCATGCTCAAACGTCGTGATACCAGCCCTTGTTGCGAGGAATGCAAACAAACCATTCTCTGCAGCTGCGCAGAGATCTCAGATGTTCGACTAGAGGGCATCACAAGTTCAACCAAACCAGGCGGTTGGTTGTGTGAGGCCGTGCAAGGCAGAGCCCTGCGAGCAAGGCCAAGCTTTGCCAAGGTGCCGTTGCCATGGTCTTCTGACTGGTTGGAGCTGCTCTTTGATGTGCAACCTCGGAAGAGGTTTTCACCGCCTCCCCGTGGGAAGACAGAGCTTGAGCTGCCAGAGCCACAAGAAGAACATCGTCCCTCTGCGACCTCCTTGGGCAACAAGAGCTCGGCGAAACCATTTTTCAAAGCCTGACGTGCTGAGGATTTCCCGTCACCCGAGTGCGAGCCGGAGAACGGTCACGGTGCAACGTCCACTCCACTGAGTTCCGCTTTGATGAAGCAGAAGGCCCCTTTTGGAAGCTCCTCGCTGCGCTCGCTGCGCTCGGCTGCGATGTCTCGACGTGAGCATATGTCAGGCTGCGAAGCCTCCGCAGGTGTTCTCAAGAGCGTCTCCGAGCGTAGCAGCTCCAGCTGCGAGATTTCGCTCGCAGGTTCCCCGCCTCGACCTTTCCTTCGTGCATCAAAGAGGTTCCTCAGGGCTGAGTGGAGCGGTTGCCCTGTGCAGCTGCGAATGCAGAGGAAACTCCGAGAACCTCACGAAGCACGAGTGGAAGCCGGGAAGCAGGCCGGTCTCCCTTCGCGTCCGGCGTCCCGGGCAGTCCCAGGACGACAGCAGAAGTCGTCTCGGAAGGGCCGCCACACTTTTCTACTTCAAAAGGTTGTTCAGAGTCCAACCATCAGACTACTATACCCGTCAACAGCATAGGTTTCTCTGTTTCTCTTAGTCCAGCCGAGGAGCTGCGGCTCTGACAGTCTGTGTTGTATTGGTACTTGATTCGCCTTTCCACTCGTGGCGAGTCCTGGTGATGCTGATCCATGAAGTCAGATAGGGAAGGTTAATACATGCTGATAATGTGTTTGACAATGGAGAGATGAAGCTGGCTGGTAGGCAGAGTCTTGCTGGCTCCGGCGCAGACGTGGCGAACAGGTGCGGCCAGGTCAATCATATAAGTCCTGGGTCGACTGCGCGGCCAGGTCTGGCTTCGCCTCGGCAAGTCCCGAGGACTTTTCTGTCGTACGGGGGGACAGGAATTTCAATCGATGGTGACACCATCGAGTGTCGCTTTGTGGCCCACCCAAAAGTCGTGGAACCATGGAGAGACTGAAGATGAAGAGAGAGAGAGAGCGAGAGAGTTGTTTTTGGCTCAAGTCAACCCGCCGCTCCCTTGTGGGAGGACGGCCCTTTGGGTCTGCTGGCTGTTCCCAGCAGATCCACTGGGTAGACGTGCCTCTGAGTGGGGGGAGGCTTGAGCCCTCCGCCGCAGGCATTTCGCTTAAGTGGCCTTGTCGTCCTTTTCCTCCCTCTGAACCCGACCGCGGCCCCCTCTCTCGGGAGGGGTGGCCCGCCAGCAGTGGGACGAGGCATACTATCACCTTGAGGAATCCAGGCAAATCTTTCAGAACTACCGGTACTTGGTCCTCGAGAATGGCGAGCAGTTCGAAGGAATGCCCCGGACCAAAAGGGGGGACAGCGGGTGGACCAAAGCCACCGAAAGATCCCACGACGAAGGCTGGTGGGGGAGAACAGTCCCTCGGTCCTGGCCGAGCTCCGCTTCTTGATAGCCAAACACCCATGGGAGGTAGCTCGACTGCTCAGCGACGCCAGAAAGCTCTACCCCGAGACCAAGATGGGGGACAACGAGGAGGGGGACATAGAAACCAACCACAAGGCCAAGCGAAAAGGGGGAGCAAAGCGAAAGAGCGAAGATGCAGATGCTGAGAGCGGATAATATATTTGCACGCTTTGAAACCTCTTCGGTGTGAACTATTTAAACAGCAAGAGCATCTTGCTTTCTCGGGTAAGCTTCAATCCATGGCCCAGCTTGGCCGCATAATCCTTGAGTCTTTTCAGCACGCCGTTCCGAACCTTTCCAATAGCAGAGGGGGAATTCGGGGGGAAGCATCAAGGCCCAATTCAGTTCTTCCCCTTCAACGGCAAACCAAGGTACTCGCTCAATGCAGCGGGGGAGTGCACGCTTTTGCCTTGACACCCCATTTCTTTCCAAGCTCTCCTCCACCTGACTCCCACAGGCCTCTCTTAGTATTTGAGGGTGCGTCGGAATACGGGCCCCTGTTTTGCGAGGGAAATAGTGTTATTTACAGTAGCTTCTACAAGCCACATCACACCCGTCAACATACCAACAACTGACGATCGAGCTCGAGGGGATCTGGGGCCCATACCTCAGTGGAAACACGACATACATACTAGGTCTGTAGCATCGACATGTGCTTGGCGCAGGTCTTGCATTGATTTCTGTCAGGAGAGATGACTGCGGAGATCGAGTTGTGACAACAACACGTACTCGTCATTCACACAATGCGAAGTTCATGCATGTGTCTTCTTGAACAGGCCATGACTCCCGCATGTCGATAATGTGCAAACACACTATATGTTATAGTCAACAGTTCCATCGACAGCTGTACATGCTCCTGCACAAGGATCCCATAACAAATCGCTTGAAAAGACGGCCCTAGCATTGGCGTTGCTTCACTTCTTCATCACCTTGTTTTTGAGGTGGACCTTCCTGACATTCTTTCTGGCTTTCATGGCGGTGCGGGAGGAAGCGCTTGGACGGCGGCAGACGTACTTCTTGGCTGCGGGTTTGCGAAGGACGCGATTGACACGTGCGACTTTCATCATGGCGCTGAATGCGTTCAAGTGCTTCTTGTAGTTGCGACGAATCAAGTCGTTGTGCCTCTTGACATAGACAAGAACGTGGAAGATGTGGGAAGCCGTTGCCCTGGTGTTGAGCACCGAAGCGTAGTTGCGGAACCATGCGAAAGTTTGTTCGGCTGCGGACGTGTTGACATACTCCAGGCGACGATCAAGCCTTCTATGAACCAGAGGAGAACAGGCACAACCAGAACACACCAGAACTTGATCTTCTTCAAGGCTGTCTCACGCCCCAGCTGCTGATAGCATGCGCACATGCGGTCGAAGATGATGCAGTTGATGTGGGGAGCTTTGGAAACAGCCTGGATCACGATCTTCTTTGCCACCGCATTGTTTTCTGGGTTTTCCATGTTCGTGACTGCCAAGACGAGACTGCTCTTGGGATCCACAGCCATGAAC